AAAAGAATTCATGTGGCTTAAAAAATGACAAATTGATCCATTTTAAAGCAAAATTATTTACAGTTCACTTATCTGCCAAGACCCAAGGCCACTGGAGCAATTTACATGGACAACAGGAAATATTCCAAGTGCTGATGAGGTCAATGTCATTGGAGGTTGAATGAAAACCAGAGACTCAGATCCAAAACCCAGCAAAGGACGGCTCTGTGTCCTGTTGGTTTGTTTCTTGGGTTTTTTTTGTTTGTTTGTTTGCTTTTTGGTCTCTGTCATCATTGATGGGTTGAAACTAAATGACTTTCTCCCAAAAGGCAAATGAAAGGAGTCAGTGCAGGAAGAAGAGCGGAAGTCCCAACTGAATATGAAGACGAACTTTTCCCAATGCCACGTTTTAATGGAATCCAAAACTATGCCAAGCGCAGTGGCACACGCCTGTGATCCCGCAGCTCGGGAGGCTGAGGCAGGAGAATCGCAAGTTCAAGGCCAGCCTCAGCAAAAGCGAGGCCCTAAGCAACTCGGTGAGACTCTGTCTCTAAATAAAATATAAAACAGGGCTGGGGGTAGGGCTCAGTGGCCCAGTGCCCCTGGGTTCAATCCCTGGTACCAGAAAAAGAAAAAAAATGCACTGTCTTTGTTCTAGAGGGCGCCAAAGGGCTCTCCCCTGAGAACCTGAATCTGAGCTAAACTGTGTGGGAGGGGAGAGGGCGGGGGGGCGGGGGGGCGGGGGGGGGGGGTGACTTGGGTAAACTTACTCTGCCATCCCCCATTTACCAGTCTCTCTGCTTCCCTGGGGAACGGTGATGGGATCCGGTGATGGGATCCGTGGCCATGCTGGTGAGACACGTGGCCTTGGGGGAGGGGGAGTGGAGAGAAGGTTGAATGGCAACTTGGAGAGAGTGAAAAAGGCAGGATTCATAAAACTGAATGATTCAGGTGGGAATCGCTCAATGTGCACGTTCTCTACCGTCTTTGTGTCTCAAGGACTGGTTTTCCTTTAGCATCCCTTTGAAGGAAAAAGAGATGGAGTGCCATGAACAGAGGCCTGCTGTTATTACTTTCATCTTGCAAGGTTTGCTAGAGAGAAGTTGAAGACATCTCCTTGCCCGCCATCCAGGGTCCCTCCATGAAAGCTAGGTGTAAGGAGCTTTTGTATAAGTAGGAAGACTTGTCTCCTTTATACACTTTCTTTTATCCAATAATAGCTAAGTAAATAATCTGGTTTCCTATATCACTCAGGCTGCCAGGGAACTCCAAAGTATAACATAGCTCCATCACAGCACTGAATTTCATCTTCTCCTGACTTTGTGTGACTACTTGGTTGTTGTGACTGAAGAGTGGAATAATTTTCATAAGGTGTACACTTGTCTGTTAGACTTCTGCCACATTGACTTCTCAAAATATATTCTCAGTAGACTTTAATTTTCATGGTAAAGATCTGTAAAGATCTGTTCATGTGGTTACTCTCACCAGTTCCATGAAAGCAGTATTTCCTATTTCAATTCCCACTGAAAACATGTACTGGGTGTGGTAGTAGAAGACACTCGGTAAACACTTGCTGATGGAGTGAATGCATACAACATTCTGGGGAACTCTGACAATGAAGCCCTTTTCAATGAATGGAGTAATCAAGACCCTATTTGCCTATGAGCTTTAAAAAGAGCAATGCCACAACCATCGAGCATCGTATTTATTATTATTATTGCATTTCTAGTGCCTCACACCAAACCTGAGTCCTTTTTTTATATTTAATTGCTGAGTTGCTTAGGGCCTCGCTAAGTGGCTGAGGCTGGCTTTGAACTCTCGATCCTCCTGCCTCAGCCTCCTGAGCTACTGGGATTACAGGAGTGCATCACCATGCCTGGGTTTTGATAGGTTCTTAATACTAGTATGTGGAATAAATGGATGAACAGATGGGTGGGTAAGTAAATCAAAGATGAATGTATTTAAGGATGACTGTACATATGGATAGATGGACGGATGGAGGGGTGGTTGGGCAGATGAAGAAACAGAGAAAGAAAAAGTTGAAAAAGGAAGTAGGAGGAAAATCCAAGTGATGTGACTTAAAACACAGGGTCTGGTGTGACACTGGTCATTTTAAATTCTCAGACAGAACGTCCTTATGTGTGATTCAGACTGACAGTCCCAGTTAAGTAAGTTTGCAGTCAGGATGACTAAGTTGGGCCAGAGAATCTGTTTTCTAGAGAGATCTAAAACCCAACGGCAAATATCTCTTATTTTTTGTTTCTGTTGTTTGGCAGAGAAATCCCTGATACTATGGAAGTTCAGATATCAAATGAATACAATGTTATTAAGACATAGTCACTGTCCCCAGTGAGGCTATAAACCACAAACTCAACATCCACACTCAATCTAGTGGGTGAAGCAGCTTATTAAGAATAAACTTATGAGGAGGCTGGGGATGGGGCTCAGTGGTAGGGCCCCTATCTAGCAGGTGCGAGGTCCTGGGTTCAATTCTCAGCATCACATACAAATAAATAAATAAAATAAAGGTATTGTGTCCATCTACAACTTAAAAAAAAATTGAAAACAAAAATGCTTACAGGGATACCCAGGAGGGAGAATATGACATTCTGCTCTAATAAAGACTAACTAGTTATTGCAAACATTAAAAAAAGAAAAGAAACGGGGTGTGAAAGCACGCAGAAGCTGTCCGTCACACGAGGAAACCGATCAAGCCAGCAACCTCTAAGAAAAACACAACCCCCAAGCCCCCGTCCTGGATTCCAGAACCACGTGCACAGAGCTGCTGGCAAATCCAAGCGAGTCACAACCCAGGCTTGTGATCATGCAGCCTGCAGAACTGGCCCAATCGGTCCCAACCCGAGTGACTTTCAGGTCCCAGGGCATCCAGCTTCCTTGTGGATCCCCCACCAGAAAAATCCCATCCCCCTCTGTCTCTGTGGCAGGACATCACTGAGATGCCGACTGGGAGAGGGAAAGGGCTTCCCGCCCACCTGTGCAGAGCTCCCGCCGATCACAGATGTGAGCTCCACTGCCAAGAGCACACCTTGGCTGACAGCCCCCGAATTCCTGCAGCAGCTGCCAGAGTGGACCAGCAATGCCGCCCAGACCATCATCCCTGGGCTGGCACCGGAATCGGGGAAGGACAAGCCTCAAGTTGGGGGGTTTGTTCTTTCGGAACCCGGCAGCCACCACTCTGTGGGCCCGTGGTAATTAAGAGCCAGCAGACTGTGGCCAAAGCCGTTAAGAGAGCTCTTTCCCTAGGAAGGCAGCCCGAGTAATTGGCTGGCTGCTTGCTAATGACATGGCTCTTGCAAAATAAACTGGCTCCGGGGTGGGGGCGCCCACTGAGTTGGTGAATGCAGGCTCTGTACCTATTTGAGACCCTTTGGGGGTTCCCCAGGTAATTCTGAAACACTATGGGGAAGATGAGATGCACCCGGATTTCAAAAATCCTTGTGCCCAGTAAATGTAAGTAGGATGCCAAACAGAGAGGGACACCTGGCTGCCTCTGGTCATGCCACCAGTGTCACACTGCTATGTGTCCCCAGTAGGCTTCTTGTCTGGGCTAAGCAGGGTGTTTAAAATAAACCCATGTCTCAGCCCAGCATGGCTGCAGGTAGGGGGGGAGAAAAAGACGGCTTGCACCAACCTGAGCTCGGGAGACAGTCTTCCAGACTCACTTCTATTTTTCTGAAGGCCAAATGGGTTTTTGACGATGGGCAAGGGACAGGGGGACACACATGCGCACATGCACACGCGTTAGCGTCTCTGGAGCTCCAGTGTGGACACGGACCAGCCCATCCCTGCCTGACACAGACTGACAGGGCCAGCAGCCCTGAAGTCGCCCTTCCCCATCACCATGGCACTATGCCAAGGGAATCACATCAATGACTGCAGGTTTTTCTCTCTGGAGAACTTAGGAGTGGGGCTCGGGGATGCAGGAAGCTCCCTCTCCCGTCTTAATAAACTTCTGCTTGGCGCCACCACTCTTAGAGACAGGTGGGAAGAACTGAGCCCAGCCCTGGAAGCATGCAAAGTTTTAAAGGTCCTTCTTTCCCCCCCCCCGGGGGGGGGGGGAATGCGCAAAGCTGTAAATCTGCCCGTCCCCCCAAAATCTTTTAAGTCACCCTTCTGGATCCCAGTGCTAATGAACTGGGAAGCCTCTTCCATGCCGATCAATTACACGGAGTTCCAGATTTTGAATTTTTAAGTAGCATTTTAATTTGTTGTTAGTGCCCCCCGGAGCAAAAGCAGCAGACCACCAAGCCCAAACACCATAACCTCCAAGCCATTAGCTAACATGTCAAGTAGGTAATGCATCTTCAGGGAAACCAGATTAGAAAGGACAGCAAAACATTGATTTTTTTTTTTTTAAGAATCCTATACCTGCAGCATAATGCTGCTAAAGCCAGCCAAACAACAAAGGGCATTTCCACAGCTAGGAAATGTCTTATTCTCAGGGCTGGGGCCACGAAACCTGCTCCACCCGAGCATGGACATGCTCACGGGCAAAGGAAGCCTTCCTTAAACCTACGGGCTTTAGAATTTGTAAATAAGTCATCAATCCATGCACCAAAAAAAAAAGCTTTGGAAGAGAATGAGTAGCCATGTGAACCGGCTGGAAACACCAGTTGAGAGCAATGCTACCCAGGGAGCAGGTGGAGTCTTTTTCCAAAAGGAAACAATAGCATTTGTATGTAGCAAGTTAAAACCCTGCTCTGAAACTCATCTGCTGGAAGGAGAGTTGTGATCCCTCTGCACAGTGAAGGTACTCACATGCAATCCTTTATCTCAGCTCCTGCAGCTTTGCCCACGAATCCCCCACAGTTTACAAGATAAGCCCAAACCCCCATCTATACCAAACAGATCCCCAGAACTTAATCAAAGCAAGCCACCGGCTCCCGTCTCCGAAATGCATTTAGCCAAGGGAAGCCAGATGGAGCACACCCTCCCCCCCCCACCCCCCCCCGCCAACCCCCCCCCCCTAAACAAGCACCAAGTAGCTGACAAGTCCTTACCGACTTTGGGCTCTTCTTGGGAACGGGCAGCCCTGGAAGAAAAAAAAAAAGGAGGGGAGGGGGGAAGAGATCATTAGCATATAAATGTTACCTTTTTCTTAAAGAACAATCCCCAGGTGTTTCATGGCAACCTAGCCATCTGCAGAGTTATGTCAGATTTCTCCCCAGCATCGGAGTTACCAGGCTGTTCATATCGAATCAAAGCCGAGGGAGGAGGGAGGCGACAGGCAGATCTATCTGCATTAGCTATGCTGAGTTGTACTGCAGCAGCCTGGAGGCTTGGAAAAGAAATTCACAGACCTCAGCGGCCTGGGAAATTGAACACTCGGACAGAATCTCAAATGCTCTTCTGGATTAAGAGAGACTTAACTTACAATTAAGTCCAGGATCTTTTCCTTTCCCCCGCGATCCACTTGTCAACGGAAGCAGACCAATCAGAATAGAGGAAGGGGTATATATTTAGTTTCAAAGGAGAGCATGGTTAAAATTAAAATTTTTTTTTCCATTTCTGTCTTTTTTTTTTTTTCCTCTCTGTCTTTTAGAAGAGAAGCCGCCTTCTTGATTTGGATGAGCTCAACACCACAACAAAGACGGATGCTCTTTTTGCCAGAAGAAGGGAAAAAATAGGAGCCCAAGTCCAAGTGGGTCTAGGATCCCTCCCGATGAGCATCAGCTCCTGTCTGGATGCCTGTCAGTCAGTCATCCAGCCAACCTCCTCCTTGGCTTGTTAGAAAGACTGGGGCTCAGTCCAGCCCCCCGAGGGCAAAGCATGTCACTGGACATGAGAGAGAAAAATTACACACAGCTGAGGACAAAAAGAGACGCTATTGGAGAAAGAGTGGTTAGCTGTCCCCAAACCCTCTGCTTAGTGGGAGGGCACAAGCTGAAGTGGGGGGGGGGGGGGAACCAACCAGTGATCTCTGCACTTCTAGAAAACTCAGTAGCAACTAGGGGGCAGGCTTAAAGGGAATGTGTCACCAGTGGAGTGTGAGAAAGAGAGGTGAGAAGGAAAAATAAGGCACATCTTGGGGTTTCAAAAGTGATCATTTTCACAAGCTGCCACCTTTATTTATTTATTTATTTATTTTTCCTGTCCCGGCAGGGGTTAGAATGCGAAAGGCAGATTCCATTTATATACCAAGTGACAGAGATACACTTGGGATCTGTGGATTCTGCAAAAGAAACTTCAACTTGTTTCTGAGAGCGATTCCTGTGCAGTACCGGGATGATGTCAACTCTTTGGGAAGTGACTTGTCAAGCCACGAGCCAGGAGAAGTTCAGCACAAGTAATTCCAGGCAACGGAAGTGGGCGAGGGAGGAGGAAGTCACCCAGAGGAGCAACATGGGTGTGCCCACTGCAAGTGAAGCGTGACAAGAATCACTCCTGCTGAGATACTTTGGGGACAGTCTCCACGGAGGCTCCTCACATTGCCAGAATGAGGTCAGCACAGTCTGGCTCTGGGACTTTGGAGTGCATCAGGAACATTAGGTTCCTTGTTAAAAATGCAGAACCCCAGGCTCCAACCTCAGGGGCCCAGGAATCTGCAGTATTAATTAACAGCTCTTCCTAGGCAATCTGATGCAAGAAGTCTGAGGACCATATTTAAGGAACTCTAGAAAGAATGATTCTTTTTTCAATTAAGGTAAACTCGGGCATCCCTCAGCATGTCACCCTAGTCCCCTCAATGCCTCAGTTTCTCCAGAGGTGAGATGGAAATAATAAATCTCACTTCCCAAGACAGTGAAGATAAATAAGGGAAAATGCTTAAAAAGCCTTCTTCTTCTTCATCATCTTTTTGTAGTACCAGGGATTGAACCCAGGGTGCTTAACCACTGAGCCATATCCCCATCCCTTTTATATTTTATTTTGAGACAGGGTCTCGCTAAATTACCTGGGACCTTGCTAAGTGCTGAGGCTGGCTTTGAACTCATGATCCTCCTGCCTCAGCCTCCCAAGCCACTGGGATGACAGGTGTGTGCCACCGTGCCTGGCTGTTTAAAAGCCTTCTACCTAACCCACCTCCAACATCTAAATCTCTCACCTTCCTTGGCCAAGTGACGTCATTCAAAAAGGAAATGGGTATGATTATCTTGCTCTAACTAGGGAGAACTCATCTGCTAAAGATATCAACGTATAAAAAAGACTTAGGAGAAATATTTCGCCTATAGACAACGAGTTGAAAAATTCTGATATTTCTTTATTAATCTGAAAATAATCATTAGGTATATTCATATGATTTCCATAAAAATAATATGAATCACTGGATGCACTCAAAATTATATTATATTGCATGGTTCAATTCAGATAGCCCCCTAACTGAAGCATTCTTAAGTTAAGTAAAATAAGTCAGGTTTCATTACAGGTAGCTTTTACAGAACTTGACTCTGCCTGGGATCCTAATGACCTCATGTAAAAATATGTATTAGGAATCTCCACCTAGGTAGGTGGAGTCAGGGCAAGATGGTTTTAATCCACTGGCCAGTCTCTTACGATGTTCAGACCCAAACTAAAGGGCACTTTTCCTTCTCATCACAGAGATGCACATCCCATCCAAGATGCATTCAGGTGGACATTCACTGCAGCATTGTTGGCAAACAGAAAACCTGGAAACCACTGGAAGGATTACATAAACTGTGGGGTGGCCCACCCATGTGTTCTTTGAACACTCTGCACTGGTTCAAAGAAATGAGCTCAGTTGACAGATAAGAACACTGAAGGTTGCCTGTGGTATACACCTGTCATCCCAGCGGCTCGGGAGGCTAAGGCAGGAGGATCAAAGCCAGCCTCAGCAACTTAGTGAGGCCCTAAGCAACTGAGTGAGACCCTGTCTCTAAAGAAAATACCAAATAGGGCTGGGGCTGGGGCTCCATGGTTAGGCGCCCCTGGGTGCAATCTCTGGTACCAAAACAACAACAACAACGACAATAAAAACACCAAAACGACAAAACACTTAAGGCCTCCAAAACATAATGAGGTGTTAAAACAGCAAGCAGCAGAATGCCTGGCTGTTTGGTGGTGAATGCCCCACCAAACATGACAGGGATGTTTCACCTGAAGGGAGGAGGGGTAGGGATCAGAGACACTAGTTTAAGGCTACTTTAGCCTTATTTAGAATTCCTTTTCAAGAATATTGCATTCACTTCTCACTAAGGCAATAAAATATTAATTAGAAAATAAACATTAATCAATTAACGACCCTTCCACTGTTAACTACACAAAAATCAACCAGATATGGGGGTGTGGGAGAGTAGAGGGAAAAGGAAATGGAAAAGTGGGATCATGAATTGACATCAAATTTCATGCATGTGAGTTTGTTGCGATGAACCCAACTACCAGGTATGACTATAAAACTTTAATTAAAAAAAATAAGTAAGTAAGAAAGGGGCTGGGATTGTGGCTCAGTGATACTGCGCTTGCCTAATATGGGTGAGGTACTGGGTTCGATTCTCACCGCTGCATGTACATAAATTTTTAAAAGTCAATCAACAACCAAAAACATATTTAATAAAAGAAAGAAAGAAAGAAAGACAATTAAAGTCTGTTTCTTCTAGGAAGACCAAAAGGTCTCAGATCAACTGGCCCAAGCTACATTTGACAACAAATACGAAAATCTTTTTTTTAATTGAAGAAGGCTTCAAAGTTCCTCTTGGTCAGCCATTTGCCCCAACCCTTTGTTTTTCAAAAGCCACCCACCTTTTTTTGCAGGGCCCAAAAATGGGTTATAGCCACAAATGAATATTTAAATAGTTAAAATCAAGAGACTCCCCTTGACTGCTCTTTAAAAAAAAAAAAAATCAAACATTTGTTTTAGGCCCATATGGTCATTAAATCTTAAAATCTAATAAATATGAATGCTGGAACAAACCTCCTATTACAATTTATAATTTATTTTAGCCAGAACAATTCAGAAGGATTGAAAACAGCTGGGAGGCCCCAACGGAAAAGACTCAGAGGGTCACTGCTGGCCAAGACGGTCCAGGACGTAGGAATCACGGCTGGAGCTCTGGGTGGAATTAGCTGCAGGCACCCCGTTCTGGATGGGTCATGGGTGGCAGCATTAGCTGACCCTCTGGGGCACGTCCAGGGTTTTTCTGAGACAAATGTACTCTGTACACCCAGCGGCAGAGGGGCGATTGTGGCCTGTCCATCACCACACATTATCACATGGGAAACCCGAGGGCAGAGAAGGCACCGGTCTTAACGGGCCCCTCTGGTCCACCCTGGGGAAGGAAGGGGCGTTTCAGAAGAGGTGGAAGAAAGGGAGAAAGGTCCCTGGCTGACACCATCTGCTCTTAGCACCCAGATGACAGCAAATGTGACTTCTAAGGGATCCCAGAAAACGTTTACAGGGAAGTGTGCACGTTCAAAGCGTGAGTCCGGGTGTGATCGATGGAAGTGACAGAAGCTGGGGACCTCAGTTTCCAAAGTTCCCTATGAATGAGGTGTCCCTCCAGGGAGAACAAATGGCAGCTTCTCTGCTAGTGACGGGAACCTGACCGATGAACACGAGGAGGAGGCATCTCTCTCTTTAAACATCAAGACCATAAACTGTGCTCCTGAACGTGTTCTCCTATCACTAAGTGGCACAATGGTATTCTAGGTAAAATTATATAATGGTAGGGCACAAATAATTCATATGAAAAATGTATAACAGAATCCTAGGCATTTGCTAACAAAGACTCAAAGGCTATATACTTTATTTGGCTCGTGGGATTATGGGTGGCTTTATGACCTATTTGAATATCTTCTACAACCAGGAAAGCATTTATGATACCTGTAACTCACAGGTACCTACAGGTACCATAATAAACAAACGTCTATACTGACTTTTTAAGTAAGATCTATGCAACACGTTGCAGGACACTTTATTGCAGATTTAAATCTCTCAAGCCATCGCAGATCTCTGCATGTTTCAAGAGTCGCTTCTTTTCCCCAAGGAACACAAGTTTTTCAAGCCCTGTTTGGGTAGAGATTTATGACTCACTGGGACGAGGGGAGACGCAGGAGAGCCCGGAAAAGCTATTAAGGAAG